ARRAAWTWMMAWKKTTTTTTTTACTATTTTTCCTTTGCAGTATAGCATTTATAAATAAATTAATGAAAAGTTAAGTCTGTCTTTTTAATTTTGTCTGTGAGAGTAATAAGGTTGTTGTGAGAGTGAGAGAGTGCATGGAGGATTGACTTAATTAAGCAGATTAATGTAGCAGAGCAGAGTATACAGTCTGCAGAAYCCTTTCAGTTGCTCTTGACATTAATACATCTACAATGGTGCTGTTAAGTTGTAGTGTACCTCAGGGATGAATCCTCGCCCCCTCATTATTCTCCATTTGCACGCTGTCTATTTGCCAGCTTCTTTAGAACCATGGTGTCAGTTTTTGTTTTATGCAGATGACACTCAACTGCATGTGACTAAATGATCTTCAGATCCTAGCCTTGCCAATGTTGCTTTTGTTATAGGCATTAAACTCTAGATGGCCAAAATTATCCTCAACAATGCCAAAGCAGACGTCCTATTTGGTCCCACATATTTTTGTCATTCTTGTTGGGCTCAGACTTAGCTGTCTCTCAAGTAGTATGGGACAKAAAGGAAATAATAATAATCTATTCATAACCTCACGCAAGACTTTCTGCCTTATTTATACTAGTTGAGGGCAATCTAATATATATGCTATATACATATATAGCATTTTATTTTAACAAATGAGAAAAGAGAGGTTTTATATGCTTTTAACCACTCTCAACTTGTCATGTCTTTTTTTCTGTCATCTTCAGTTGTTCACAATCAAATATTGTTATTTATCATTCCAGTGTCCAGCCGATGGCTCAGCTTTCTGTCTGGGACAAAGGAAGCATGGACCTTTTTCTGTTTTGTTAATTTCTGCCAACAAAACTAAAAAAACCCAACAATTTATTTTCTTACAGACCAAACTTGATCTTTTCTTGCAAACTACATCTTTGTTTAAAAAGTGTTATACAGTTAGTATAATTATCAATATTATTAATAAAATAACACATTTGTATCAGTTTAACAGAAACCCACAATCAAAAAGAGAAGAGCGGCTGTTTCTTATTTTAATGGAAATAACACACAACTTAACATCATCAGTTTACTTGAACAATGGAGGCTGACAACCTATTACTGTTTTTCATCAAGCATTGTCAAGCGAAGTCTATTAATGAGACTTGGTGGGAATGTTTTGGCTGCATGTGATAGATTAAAAAGACAAAAAAAGGCTTCTTCTGAAACAGGATTTTAGCTCTAGTTGTAACTGAGGTTTACAAAAATAAAGCTTGAATCCATTTTGGTTGATTTGCTGAATGATTCCTGTTAAACTCTCAAGTTTACATTTTTTATTGAAAAAACAAAGAAATGAAGACTTGCTTTATTGTTGCATCACAAATAAACTGAATCTAAAAAAAGCTGATGTAAGAAAAGGTTCTTTGACAGCACACGTCTAATAAAAGCAAGATTGTTTTATTTTTTATTTATTGTCTGTTTTTGCCCCACAAATCTTTGCTCCTATTCAAAGAGCACTATGTTTTATAAAATGAGGAAGTGGTCAGTTTTATAAGATGCATGCTAAAATGTACATTTAATAGACACAGTCAGCTTTCAGTTTTACATAAAATAGTAGCAGATGGAGTTATTTTGCTGCACTGTCACGTTGAAAATATTGTGACAAAATTAGTAAAACTACATTTGGATTTGTATGCAAAATACAATTTCTCATTTAATAAGTATGAAATTTAGGAAACAAAAAGTTATCTCCAGGAAAGTATTTACCTTTTTCATGACCTAGGTACTGTATAAGTCCTATTCTGTTCAAATCAAAATGTGATTGCAGAAACATAACCTTTGATAGATGCTAATATTTTGTTTTTACCAATTAATGGATGACTGCTTTAACATCTGAGCCACACTTCCTCAAGCACCACCTGAAGCACATTAGCATCAGATATTGGTTCATTTGGGCTTCTGATAAAAATGTAATGAGATGGCATGGRATTTATTAGTCGGTTCTTAGCTGTAACTGGTAAATTAGAAATTAGAGGAGCGGCACGGGGACAAAAAGCTGTTGCCTCAAAGGGAAAATGTCACCGGTTCACCTCCACCCCCTTTTATGTGGAGATGGCATGTTCTCCCTGTGAACATGTGGTATTTTATCCAGGTATCAGGTGCTTAAATTCAGAGAAACACATTTAAATCAACTTATTTCAACTGCTCCATTACATTAAAGTTGCTGCTTTATGTGGGTTTTTCCTTTCACTTTTTGGAAAAAGCTCATTGAACAGGAATGTAAAGAACAACACTTTGATATCTGAGACCGTAAACGTATGCTTCACCACATGCTTGAGTCGGCACATATCGATGAAAAATGCTGAGTCGTAAAAGGTCAGCATCAAATGAAAGGAGGAAGTATTAAAAAAACTTATTTTTCCTTTGGCTGCAGCAAGTGATGAGAAACAATAATTCCCATTTAGAGGAGACCTTAGATCTGCGACTGTTACTACACGGCTGTTACACACGGGCCCTGTCAAAGGTATTGGACTGTGACTTAAAGCTGGTGAACAAAGCAAATAAAAAAGGAATAAAACAAAAGATTTAATGTGATATGAGAGAGGTGAGATTGTGTATTGATAAGTTGTTTGATGGCTGTTAAATTTTTGATGATTATCACCAATTTGCACAGCTGTGTACTCACCTCCTCCCATCCTCTCCCGTTGGTGTAGGAAATGACATCTATTAGTGGATTGGACAAGTAGCCATCACTTTTGAAGGAATAGTCTCGTCCACCAATGGATATGTTGGAGAAATACCTGTAAGGAAAATTGGAGAATAGGGAGATGAAATAAAACCTCTTTATTAGGGGTGCAACGATACAGAAAATTCACGATTCGCTTCAGTTCGATACTTTAGTCTCACGGTTCGATATGTGTTCGATACAAAAAAAGGAGAAATGTCCATGCCCTTTTTAACTTGTAATTTAATTATGAACGTTCGTTTAACCTCAAAAGTGCAGTTTTTAAATTAAATGTTGCTGAAACAGCAAGTTTCTCAGTGGATCTGTGCTCAAAAAT